AGACATCTTTACACACACCGCATCACATTCCCACCCAACTTCATTGACAGGATATATCGGCACTGATCATCGAATATTTTTTAAAAAATCGTCCGATTGCGGGGGAAAAAGCTTATATCGACTGATACCGGTTGTTCGATACATCTGTGCATCTCTAAAATAAACAAATAAATAAACAAATAAATTAAATAACAAACAGTGAGAACCAGGAAAGGTTTGTCTTAGTCAAAAATAATAATATAAATTATAATAAATACTTTGTACTTTTCACACACAAACAGCAGTATCAACAACAAAAAAAAACAATATAACAATAAACACAATGAAACACAAATCCCTCAGCACTAACTACGGGGAGAAAACAAAACAAGAGACACAAAATGAGAATCCTCTTCCTTTATACTCTCACCCATTTCCTTTTTTGCCATGCCATGGGTGAAGACCAATGAAACAATGTTGACTGTCATCACAGAAAACCCCAACAATCATAAATGAATGATTATATGCTGTCATGGCTTTGCAATCAAAAAAATGTTGTTATAATAGAGGCCAAAAGAAGAAAACCATGAATATAACGAAAAGTAAATTTGCCCAGATTGAATTGAGGTTTGGCCAAATTAAGCCTCAAAATCACCACAGAATGGATAAAAATGACCCAACAGCAAGGGAAAGGTGCACATTCCAGCCTTTATGACGATGCTGTACAGTTATGTCTCATGTCTGTGAGGCAAATATTCAGCTGTTTGTTCAGCTGTTACCCCAGACCTTTTTTTTCTGATGTGTTTACAAGTTAGGCACAGAATGAACAAGTATTCCCTGTCTGCTTTACAAATTTTAGAAAAAACATTTTGTCATAATTATGATTATAAATGAATAAAATAGGCCATTTACAGCTTTCAAATCTGTGTCTTATCAATATGACTCACTGCCAGAATGACCACTCCATCACTCCATTTGCGGAAGCTATCCAGGCCCTTTCGGTCTTCCACCAACAACAACATGAGACGCTAGTGGAACTGAAGAACATCCAGGAACAGCGTTTCCAAGAAGGCTTGGACGGTATCTAAATTTTGATACCGTCAAACCGCCTCCATATATTACCCTGGTATCCGGTATTAAGGGCGAAATAAAAAAAATTATGACGTAAGGCTCAGACAGCATTACTAAACTGTTAGCTTGTGCCTAAACCATTCAGAAACTGAATACCTTATATGCGACCTTAGGCTCGCGGTCACCTGTTTGTCTTGTTTGTATTCTTCTGTGCGGGACACTCCTCTCATTCGCACGCAGACACACACACACACACACACACACACAGAGAGAGAGAGAGAGAAAGAGAGAGAGCGCGCCAATCGATGCACAGCACCGCTCTCTCCCTCTCTCTCTCTCAATTCAATTCAGTTCAATAATAATTATAATGATTTATTCAGAAAATTCAATAATGATTTACAGCAGCGGGAATGCAGAGAGCTGTAATCGGGCTATAAAAATTAAGCACGATGAAGCCTGAGTCTGACAAGTACATTTTGACTGACAGCTTTATAAAGCCCGAACCCGTTTACAGACGACATCATACAAATGTGCTCATGCACACAGCTCTATTGCCTTTTTTTTTTTAAGAATGAGTCATTTATATGTTTTAGCATAATTTATTCGTAACAAACGTAGACTATATGCCACTAGGAAGTTGGAACAAAAAAATAAAGTACGTCCTCTGTAACTTAGGTATACATACCCTTAGCCATTAAATTGGCCAACACCAATGAAAAGAAATCTTGCTTAACAAATCAAATTAAAATAAACTCTAAATGATGACGGGTATTTTGGCAATAACGAAATTAAGATAAAGGCTGTGCAAGATTTGTTTTGCCACTTCTCTTCACAATCTGGCATTAAGGTGAAGCTGAATTTTGAAAGAATATTGCCAAGCCTGTATACTCTGTCTACATTATGGTTATATGGTTTTATTAATATTCATTTATAATTTAAAAATCCTTTACTCACCAAGATTAGGCTACGTGTTTTTGTGGAGGAACATTATTAAATCCACAAGCTTTAGCGCAGTCCTGCTTTCATGGGGTCCAGCAGCACTAAACACCGTTTCACTGCTAATCCTACAGGCCGAGATGCAGAGTTCTGATCTGGCTGGTAGGATTGTTTTGTTTTGACCGCCGTCAAAATTTGCTTTTTTACTACTTTGTCATCATTTGCTTCACCTTTTGCAGGGATGGATTTTGATTTTTTCGGGCCCCTCCGGGTTTGGGCAAAGATTTTCAGCTCTAATGCAGACCTCTAGTTCATATTTACCACGTGACATCTCCCTTCTGTTCAGTCGAAACTGGAAATACTGCCAAACTGCAGGTCACTTTGGAGCCCGACTCGTCACCTCACCTCTCCTCTTCCCTCCCCCTCCCTCTCTCCTCCAAACTGTCCCATGCTGACAATCACACATACGTTTTTGTAGGCATTAAATAAAGGATATTTAATATTTTATGATCCAAGTCCTCATGGAGGCCCAGCGGGAGGACCGAGAGCAAATCTGGAGTCTGCTGTCCCAGGAGATCCGGCCTGCTCCGACATCTGCCGCCCACCCTCACAATTTCGAGGGAAAAAGCATAGAGTAGAGTTAGCAGTTAACCTGCACCTCAAACACCCGCTAATTCTGGGAACTAATTGGCCTGGATTTAATAGATTATTGGGAGTCTTATGTGCGGGTGTTTCTTGGAAGAAGAAATCACCGGATAGGGGGCGTGTCGCTCAGCTCGGGGAATCCCAGGCGGTGACGTAACGCGCTGACTCAGGGGAAGGGCTGGGAATTTCCCAGTGTAAGGACTTTCCCCTGGAGCAGTCGCGTGAAGATACGCTAAAAAATGCATTCAAAAGAGTGCAGGTTATTGATAGGAAAATCCTCCAGCCTGATCGACCCCTCTCCTACCCGTATTTTGTGGTTATTAATGATAGGGTGTATCGAGTGACCCAAGACACTCAAACAAAAGAAGATACAACCCAGTTATTAGTACCAAAGAACCGCCGGGAAATGCTTTTTCAGGCGGCTCATTCTAATCCTATGGTCGGATATTTAGGTCAGGCGGCCACACTAAATCGCCTCATGACCCGATTCTTTTGGCCAGGCATTCACGGTGACGTCAGCAGATGGTGCTCTGCGTGCCGTAAATGTCAGTTGGTAAATCCACCGGCCACCACAAAAGCGCCGTTGCGCCCATTACCAATTATGGAGATCCCCTTCGAGAGAATTGGTATGGATCTTTGGAGCTTGGCCATTAGAGCGATCCGCATGTGGGCACCGATTTGCATTAGTTCTGTTGGATTATGCAACCCGATACCCGGAAGCAGTGGCGCTCCGTAACATCTCAGCAAAGAGTGTTGCGGAGGCGCTGTTTCGGATAATCCTCCGAGTAGGAATCGCCAAGGAGATTCTCACGGATCAAGGCACCGCGTTCATGTCACGCACGATGCGCGAGCTTTACAGATTAATGGGCGTTAAATCTATTCACACCAGCGTCTATCACCCACAAACAGACGGGCTGGTGGAAAGATTTAATCTCACGCTTAAATCAATGATCTGTAAATTTGTTCAGGAGGATGTGAAAAATTGGGATAAGTGGTTGGAGCCTTTATTATTTGCTGTGCGGGAGGTTCCCCAAGCCTCCACGGGGTTTTCCCTATTCAAGCTTCTCTACGGCAGACAGCCCAGAGGGGTTTTGGATGTCGTTAGAGAGGCTTGGGAGGACGAGCCTTCAAAAAGTAAAAATGAAATTCAATATATCCTGGACCTTAGAGCAAAACTCCACATACTGGGGCGGCTCTCTACAGAGAATTTGCTTAAGGCCTAGGATGACCAATGCCGGCGATATGATAAGGGCACTAAACTTTTCACAGGGAGATAAAGTACTTGTACTGCTACCCACTTCCAGCTCTAAATTAATCGCCAAGTGGCAAGGGCCGTTTGTGGTCACACGATGAGTCAGTAATATCGATTACGAGGTGGTCGAACGCTCTGGTTACGGGGGGCGATCATCTCTCAGCAAGCCAGCTCCTCGACATCCGGCACCTCCAACGTGAGTACTCAGACGTGTTTTCGCCCCTGCCTGGTCGTACTAACCTGATCCAGCACCATATCGAGACTGAACCGGGCGTGGTCGTTAGGACCTGGCCGTATTGCCTAACTGAACACAAGAAAAAAGTGATTCAGGAAGAATTGAGTAATATGTTGACAATGGGAGTAGTAGAAGAATCCCACAGCGACTGGGCCAGCCCGATTGTCTTAGTACCTAAGACGGACGGCTCGGTCCGGTTCTGTGTGGATTATCGCAAGGTGAATGGTGTGTCGAAATTTGACGCTTAACCAATGCCGCGTATTGACGAGTTGCTCGACCGGTTAGGTGCTGCTCAATATTACTCGACATTGGATTTAACAAAGGACTATTGGCAGATCCCCTTATCTCCAATATCCCGCGAAAAAAACAGCCTTCACTACGCCGTTTGGATTGCACCAATTTGTGATGCTTCCGTTCGGGCTGTTCAGGGCACCGGCGACGTTTCAGCACCTAATGTATAAAATACTCGGCCCTCACACAGCATATGCCGCTGCTTATTTAGACTACATCATCATTTACAGTATTGGCAGCGGCATATGCAACATCTGAGAGCGGTATTGTCAGCTCTGAGACGGGCCGGGCTCACGGCCAACCCACGGAAGTGTGCAATTGGGCGAGTGGAGGTAAGGTATCTGGGAGAGTATATGGAGATGTAAGCGTGATCGAACACCCAATAAGGGGGGAGAGCATGCTAGGAGCCCGGCGGCTAATCAGCAGGTCAATTAGAAATGATAAATAACACCTGTCTTTCTAGTGATTGGGCCGGAGAGACTCCCTTCTTAAGGAGAACAGGAGGAGCAGTCGGGAGTGGAGAGAGCACACACATGCACAGACACAGCCTGCAAGCGGTGTGCATTAAATAATAAAATATATTGTTTACCTGTGTAACCCTCGGTAGACAAATGTATTATAAGATTTAATCAATGGACCAGATGCTCAGAAGTCTAAATTCCTCCAAAGAGAGAGAAGATACAACAACAGTGAAGGACTCGGACACAGAGGTAAGAATATTAAAAGATTGTATTGTAAAATGTTCACAGAAATATAAAATAAATAAATAAATAAAAATAAATAAATAAAACAAATTCTAGGTTTTTTCACACTTATCTAATGACCTCAATCTTATTTACACTCTCTAATAACACTTCTCTTTCTTCACAGGCTATATCACTAATAAGGTAAGTTAATATTGTTGTTTTTCTGTTTTTCTATTGTTAAGGCTAATATTATATTTTGGTTACTATTATAACAATAATATAATATTAATATGCTAATAACAGTACTATATTAAAGGTTTGCAAGTGTAAGTTAATAATACAATATTAAAATTGTATTATTATTTAACATATAATCAAGATTTCCCTTCTTAAATCAGTTAACCTCTCTCTATAAAGATTCAAAAATTTCAACGAATGAACACTCTAAATGAACAATGTACAAATAAAATAAAAATGAAAATAAAACATTCAGTTAAAACATTTCAAAATGTTCCAAAAGTCCAGTAAAGGTGATAAACTTTCAAAAAGATTCTTTTGCAAAACAACTAGGTTGCAAATTCAGTTCCAGAGATCCAGGATGTTGCACTTGTGAGTGTGTTGTAAATTTACACTCCTACCATGACGCTGAATAGGTTTTACTTTGTATCTTTTCAACAGGTGTATCCAAAGAATCCACTCAATGGGAGGCTCGCCAGTCCAACTCCACAATTAGACACGCCGATGGAAGTTGAGACAATCCAAATCCAGAAAAGAGTTCAAACTTCAATTAATTCGAATCCAGAGCAGATCACATCCAGCAACTGACGTCAATAGAACATCTCACCGATGAAAAACCAGAAGAAGATGCACAGACGAACAAAACCAAACAAAAAAAAAAAAACCTGGCCTTGAAAACACAAGGCCAAAGAAACCATTAGCATTTTACAGTGTATGCATTATCTCAGCTAAACACATTTCTAAATAAACAGCAACAGTAAATAACCATGTATATGCTTCTCTCTGCTGAATTTCTGTGTTTTTCCTATTTCTCTCTCCTATTTGGCATTTTCTTTTTACAAATGACAGCATTTTACTATTTTACTTAAACTTTACACAATCACTTGTATAATACTCTGTATAATACTTTGTTTTTACTAGACCAAACAAATGGTTAATTAATGAAACACATTTTTCGACACTAGTTTAAATCATGTTATAATGAATACAATAATAATTAAATAAAACATGAACTCACCAAGGAAATCATTCAAAATCAAAACGAAACAAATAGGAAAACTCCAGGTGGCACTCGTGTGCAGATTTCACTCTCAGAGACAAATCTTGTTTTTTTTCTTCTCTCAATCCTTCATTAAAAATATATGATTGAAATAATGTCAGCATCTTATTAATAGTCAATTTTTACAGTTAATACGCATTAAAACATTAAAAGATGTAAATCTAATAGTTTTCTGCTGTTATTAATATAACAACTTACATCTCTGCTTTCCCTTGCGAACACTGAATCACCATAGCAACGGTAAACACAAGCTAACAGACAAGCGAGATTTGTTATTGTTTGGAAAGCTGATCTGCTGCTATAGTGTAAGGCACGATGATGTCATTCTAAAGCACTATTCCCTTGAATGCTGTATAATACTCTATTATAAATTATTTATATAAGTAAATAATTTTAATGTATATTATTTAATCGAGTATTCTGCCAATGTTTTTTCCTTATCTTTCTATTTGCTCTATTGCTGTATACTACCCACTAGTAACCTGGGTTACACATTCCCCCCCTGAATTCAGGCACGTCCTCGGGCATGTACGGGGTTGGGTTGTCACTGCAACTGGAAAAGGGTCTGGCACATCAAAGGGCGGATCTCTAGTGAGTATGGGTTCTTCTAACGATGTGGTAAAGGCAGAACTCAGACCTTGTAGTAAGGACTGAATGACTAGTGTCAAGGGATTTCCTAGTTTATGATACTCAAGCTTATTAGGAGGTCTACATTGCCTTTTTGAGCGTCTAGGGCCACTAGTATCTAGGTCTTCATCCACTATTGGCTGGTTAATTGAAACATTTCTGACATGTGGATTTTGATCATTAGAATGGGATACATCAACAGGATCTAATTCAAGCGCCCTTCTATGGATCTGTCCTTCAACACTATTTCCACTTCTTTCAGGTTCAATTTCTTTGGGGTCAATATCAGCAGGGTTCAGCACAGGTAAGAAATTCTCATTGACATCATCTCTTTGATTTTCTGTTAAGTCTTCTTCTAGTCTGGAATCAGGTAAGGTTTCTTTTTCAGGGTTCACCACGACAGGGAGTGGTTCAATGGGCTCTATGCCAGGTAAGTTCCTTACAAGCACTGGACTTTGTGATGAAGGTAACACAGTCGTTGTAATGGATTCCAACTGGCGTCCTGCATTTCTAATATATAGAGAGTCATCCTCAGATTCTGACTGATCACTCATTTGATGTTCTTTGGGAGCATATTCTAGAGCAGAGCTAGACCTAGTTCTGGGCTTACGTTGAACATTTGGAGGACTCATTTCTTCAATTTCATTTTCAGACAAATATCCACAAGGTCGAAGTAAGTCTCTGTGTAAAGTTCGAACTGGACCGGTCTTTCCGTCAGGCTGGACTACATATACTGGGAGATCTCCAGCTTTACGGATAACTACATAGACATCTGGTTCCCATTTGTCTGCCAGTTTGTTCTTTCCTCTTAGCCTCAAATTTCGCACAAGGACTTTATCTCCCACATCAAGAGTAGAAACAACGACATGTTTGTCAAATCTGCGCTTGTTACGTTGGGCTACTTTTGCAGAGTTTTTGATGGCAATTTCATAGCTCTCTCTTAAACCTTCTTTCAGATCTTTTACATACTGAGAGTGGGATTTGGTAGAACGATCCACAGGTAACCCAAAGGCTAAGTCGACTGGCAGCCTGGGCTGTCTACCAAACATAAGTTCATAGGGAGTGTATCCTGTTACATCATTTCGAGTGCAATTGTAGGCATGCACCAAAGGCTTGACAAACTCCTTCCAGCACGACTTCTTTTTGTTTTCAAGAGTACCCAACATTTGGAGAAGGGTCCTATTGAATCTCTCCACTGGATTTCCTCTTGGGTGGTAAGGAGTAGTTCTCACTTTGTGTATACCTGCGACGAGACATAGCTCTTTGATGAGGCTTGACTCAAAATCTCGTCCTTGATCACTGTGCAGTCTTTCCGGAAATCCATAATGTACTAGAAAGTTTTCCCATAAACATCTAGCCACAGTCTGTGCCTTCTGGTTTCTGGTAGGCACAGCCACCGCATATTTGGTGAAGTGATCTGTAATAACTAATATATCTTTGGTGTTACTCTGATCTGGCTCTAAAGACAAGAAGTCCATACAGACCAACTCCAATGGTCTGGTAGTCTTGATGTTCATCATTTCAGCTGCTTTTTCAGGAAACGCTTTTCTACGTACACATCTCTCACATGTCTTAATTTTCTCTTTCACAGATGATGACATTTTTGGCCAAAAGAATCTGGTCCTGACAAGGTCAAGTGTCCTCTCCATGCCCATGTGTCCCATATCATTATGGAGACTCTTCAACACTGTTCAACGTAAAGCTACAGGTAAGGCTAATTGATAGTGAGTGCTTTCCTGATCTTGCTTCTTCCTATAAAGCAATCCATCCCTTAATTCTAATCTGCTCCATTCCCTTATCCACAGAGTAACAGCAAGCGACTGGTCTTTTGAACTAGAAGGTTTTTCATTCCGCTGTAAACAATCAATAATGAATTTGAGATCAGGATCCATTCTCTGCTGTCTCTTTAACTCTTCGTTGGACAGGTAAGGAATGACTGGAAGACCATGCTCATTTTCTTGTTCAAACTCATTTGGTAATACATCTGCATGCAGGGCTAAGGACTCAACAAGGGCAATGGAAGGGTTGGAAAATTTGCTTTTATGTGAGGAATTTCCAATCTGATGTCGATCACAGATGGCTTTTATGGCCTCTGGGAGGATAAGAGAATCTTCAACTCCAAATTCATCTAAATGATGAAGGGTAAACTGTTTAATTCTCTCTCTCTCTTTCTGGGATGCAGGGTCATCTAAAAGCTCACCATGTGGTCGTCTTGAAAGGCCATCTGCATCACAGTTTTGACTTCCAGCCCTATACTGGAGCTTGAAATTGTAAGTGGACAGACTTGACAACCAGCGATAACTGGTAGCATCAAGCTTTGCAGATGTCAGAATGTAAGTTAAAGGGTTGCTATCAGTTACGACCACAAATTCTGTTCCATACAAATAGTCACTGAATTTAGATGTGACTGCCCATTTAAGAGCTAGAAATTCTAGCTTGTGAGCTGGATACCGGCTTTCACTTCTTGTCAACCCTCTGCTTGCAAAAGCAATGACCCGCATTTGTCCCTCTTGTTTCTGGTATAAGGCTGCCCCAAGCCCAGTGGTACTGGCGTCAGTATGCAGAACATAAGGAAGCTTTGGGTCTGCAAATCCCAGAACAGGTGCAGAGGTGAGTTTCTCAATAATCATGTCAAAGGCCTGTTGACAGGGCTGATTCCATCTGTCTCCGAATTCCTTTTTGGGGTCCAGGTATTGCTTATTCTTGTTCTCTTGTAGGTGACGTTTTTGAAGAGGTGGATACCCTACTGTGAGGTCATTAAGGGGTTTGATTATCTTGGAATAATCCTGAATGAACCTCCTATAGTATCCAGAAAATCCCAGAAAAGATCTTAATTCTTTGAGATTTCTTGGTCTTGGCCAGGTTTTTAGGGCCTCAATTTTCACTGGATCAGTCTCCACTCCATTTTCTGATACAATATGACCAAGGTATCGAACAGAAGTCTGGAAAAACTTGCACTTTTCAGGCGATAGCTTCAGTCCATATTCTTTGAGCCTTTTCAAAACGTGCATCAGCCTTGATTCATGCTCTTCTAAACTTTCAGAGAAAATGATCAGATCATCGATGAAGACCAACACCTCTTTTCTATTCAAGTCACCCATGCATCTTTCCATCAGCCTTTGAAACGTACTTGGGGCATTGGTAATGCCTTGGGGCATCCTATTGAACTCCCAGAACCCTAAGGGACACACAAAGGCAGTTTTACTTTTGTCAGCTTCCTCCATCTCAATCTGATAATATCCTGATTTTAAGTCAAGGACAGAGAACCATTTCGAACCAGTTAGTGCTGAAAAGACCTCTTCCAGATTTGGCAGGGCATAGGCATCTTTAATGGTTTGTGAGTTAAGCTTTCTGAAGTCAATGCAAAGACGTACAGAATTGTCTTTCTTTCTTACAACTACTATGGGGGAGGCAAAGGGGGATTCTGACTCTCGGATAATTCCAGCTGCTAACAAGTCTTGCAAATGTTTTCGTACTGCATCAATGTCCTGAGGATGTATGGGTCGAGGTCTGTGTTTGAAAGGAGTCTCATCATTAAGCTTTATTCGGTGAGTGACTTTGTTTGTATGACCATAATCTAAGTCATGCAAGGCGAAGACTTCAGGCATGGAATTTAATTGATCCATTATTCGTTTCTTCCATTCAGGTGTCAATGGGGAATTTTCAAAGTCAAATTTGAGATTGGAACCAGCAGAAAGTTCTTTATTGACAGTGCTGGAATTTACTGGCCCACTCTTTATTACTTCTTGGACTGCCCGCAATTCAGCAATTATAGTTCTGGGATAGATGGTAATGTCGGTCTGAGTTTCATTCCGTAACACAACTGGTAACTGTTGATTCCTTTTGTTGGGTAAGGAATGCAAACAGCTGGCAACTAGCAAACCACCAGGTAAAGCGGGTGAAGTTGGTGACTCTAGAGCTACACATTTCCCTACATGAGGATAATTAACTAGAACATGTCCATCAAGAACCACTGTACATCCTGCAGGTACTACCTCTGGAACATGTCCCTTGAATTTGATACAGCCCACTACATCAGCACTTGCTTGTTTGTATCTTGCTTCTAAAACTTTTTGTACTGCACGGTAACCATGGAAGTTTGATTGAGGAAAGGAAGCAGATTGTTGGACATAGTTACTGTAAAGAGCATCTAATGAATTTGTGCCAATTAGAACTTGGGGAGTGTTCATCAAATCTGGGACTACCAGGGCTAAAGTGGGCACTTCTGTCTCTGTTCCAAGGAACTCTCTGGGAAACTTAAGAGTCAATTCCACATATCCAAGATAAGGCACTGTTTGACCATTTGCCCCTTCCACTTCCAGCAAGTTATCCAATGATTTAAGTGGACAATTTGATAAATTCTCTTGATAAAATGACCAGGGAACAGTAGTTACTTGGGACCCTGTGTCCAGAAGGCAGGAAACTCTTTTATCACCAACAGTTATTTGGGCAGTACACTTCACTCCCACTAATCCTCTTGGTAAATTTCTCAAAGGGGGTGCGTCACACGCATTTTGGTTGAACAATTGTTTACGTTTCTCAGGGCAATTATTATTTCTTTTAGTCTCTGTATGCCCCTCTACAGAGACCGTCCTCAGTTTAAAGGATTCATGATTGCTACTTGTTGGGTATCCCACTGGGCTTGTCGCTCCCTTAACTTGCGTTTTTTCTCAGCAACTTTAGTAGGGTCAGGAGCATTACTACAGCTGCTGGCAAGATGACCATCTTCCGCACATCTAAAACAATACCCCGGACGAGGTCTACTTTCAGGTAGTTTACTAGCTCTGTAACAATCTGTTGCTCTAGGTTCAGGCAGCAAGTTTCTGGTGCGGTTTCTATACATATCAGGGGCAGACAGTTGAACCTTTAAATCAGCAATCTGTCTCTTTAAGTCAGCAATTTCAGTTGCTTCTACATCACTTTTAATTTTTGGAGTGGCTGTAGTTTGCATGGCTGTAATCTGTGCCTGTAACTCAGTGACAACATTTCTCAGCTCACTCACTTCATCTGGTTTTGCATTTTTTTTCTTTTCTTTCTGGCTTAAAGGCTTTTGCAGTGCAACAACTTGAGCTTGAAGTTCACACACTTGCTTTGCGAGAGATGTGTCAGTTTGATCATCCTGCGTTTCACTTTGGTGGGCAGATATCTGGTGAGCTGACAGTCTGAATTTCGAGGGGGCAGGATAGTGTTTATTTAGCCCTAAATGTTTTCTCATTCTTTCTTCTTTAGAGGCATTTTTATCTTCTTCTGTACGGATAAGAACTACTAATTCTGCAAATGATGGAGGAGTGGCTTTTCTCCTTTCTAATTGAAGGTCAGCAATGAGGGAACTGTCCCAACAGCCGCGACAAAACTGCTTTAGAAGATATCGGTTTCTCTCTTCTTCAAATATCCCACCTCGTCGAATAGCTGTGCTTAAGAGAACTTGTAATCTGTGCAGATAAATTGAAGGCTTTTCACCATTGTTTTGGAAGCTATTCATAAATCTGGCTAATAACTCATCTCCATCTTCTACAGAGCCATATACAGACTCCAGCAATTCCAGATATACTGCAGGTAAGCTGTTAGGGGAGACATGTTTAACAATATCTGCAGCAGGGGGAAGCAGACTGTCTATGATTTTTCTAGCTCGATTTAGGTCAGATATAGAAGGATCTGTCAGTAGGAGATCAACACTGGCACGCCAAGTGTCAAAGTCTGGCTCATTAACAGGTCTAGGAATTTTTCCAGAGAAAGATCGGAGGCGAAAAGAGGTATAGTGCATATGAGCTGTGTCATTTGTGCGGACAATGTGCTCAACTACTACCTTTTGCACGCTAGGAGGATCAATTATATCCATGGTAAGTGCTGGATGGGATGACACTGTTACTGTGGGTTTAGTACTTCTATGGTTAAGGTTTTCCTTGGGCAGGTTTTTTGAATTTGTTGATTCAACTTCATGAAATGGTGAAATTCTGGATGAAGGAAAAGCTGTTTGTTCAGTAATCATACTTTGTGATATGACTGGAGACAGCAGTCTATTTGGTGAACTGACTGTGCTACGATCAAGTATTTGAGAACGTGCTACATTTGGAAATTCAAGCTTTTTATCCAAAACAGGTAGTGACTCAGCATGAGAAGGACCAAATTTAATTTTCAGTAACTCTGTTTGGAGTACTTCCTCAATGGATTTCCCACTAAAACTAGCAATGTTTTGCAATTCCTCCAGATATCCATTAGTAGCACTATCACTAGCAATATGGGGGTAGACGCAGCTTAAAGCACGTACCATAAAAGTGGTACTTGGGTTTGACATACTAACTACAGTTAAAGGCAAAAGAGGCATCAATGTTTTCATCGCGGAGTTATGTGTAAACTCTATGATAGCATGTCGATGAAACTCACAGTCAGGGTCATCAATGAGAAGATGTCGGTTAATACTACCATATCTTAAAAGCCATGACTCTAAATCTGAGTCTGCCTCAGTCAGTGTCATTCCACCCACAATTACTGCTTTTGAGATATTTACATTCTCTTTTTCTATGATATCCATGACGTTAAAGTTCTCTCCGATTTGTAATATTTATAGTGAACTCGAATACTGTAATTATACACTGTTGTTGCAATCTCTCTCCTGGCTGGCTCTCGCCACTTTTTGGTATGTAACCCTCGGTAGACAAATGTATTATAAGATTTAATCAATGGACCAGATGCTCAGAAGTCTAAATTCCTCCAAAGAGAGAGAAGATACAACAACAGTGAAGGACTCGGACACAGAGGTAAGAATATTAAAAGATTGTATTGTAAAATGTTCACAGAAATATAAAATAAATAAATAAATAAAAATAAATAAATAAAACAAATTCTAGGTTTTTTCACACTTATCTAATGACCTCAATCTTATTTACACTCTCTAATAACACTTCTCTTTCTTCACAGGCTATATCACTAATAAGGTAAGTTAATATTGTTGTTTTTCTGTTTTTCTATTGTTAAGGCTAATATTATATTTTGGTTACTATTATAACAATAATATAATATTAATATGCTAATAACAGTACTATATTAAAGGTTTGCAAGTGTAAGTTAATAATACAATATTAAAATTGTATTATTATTTAACATATAATCAAGATTTCCCTTCTTAAATCAGTTAACCTCTCTCTATAAAGATTCAAAAATTTCAACGAATGAACACTCTAAATGAACAATGTACAAATAAAATAAAAATGAAAATAAAACATTCAGTTAAAACATTTCAAAATGTTCCAAAAGTCCAGTAAAGGTGATAAACTTTCAAAAAGATTCTTTTGCAAAACAACTAGGTTGCAAATTCAGTTCCAGAGATCCAGGATGTTGCACTTGTGAGTGTGTTGTAAATTTACACTCCTACCATGACGCTGAATAGGTTTTACTTTGTATCTTTTCAACAGGTGTATCCAAAGAATCCACTCAATGGGAGGCTCGCCAGTCCAACTCCACAATTAGACACGCCGATGGAAGTTGAGACAATCCAAATCCAGAAAAGAGTTCAAACTTCAATTAATTCGAATCCAGAGCAGATCACATCCAGCAACTGACGTCAATAGAACATCTCACCGATGAAAAACCAGAAGAAGATGCACAAACGAACAAAACCAAACAAAAAAAAAAAACCTGGCCTTGAAAACACAAGGCCAAAGAAACCATTAGCATTTTACAGTGTATGCATTATCTCAGCTAAACACATTTCTAAATAAACAGCAACAGTAAATAACCATGTATATGCTTCTCTCTGCTGAATTTCTGTGTTTTTCCTATTTCTCTCTCCTATTTGGCATTTTCTTTTTACAAATGACAGCATTTTACTATTTTACTTAAACTTTACACAATCACTTGTATAATACTCTGTATAATACTTTGTTTTTACTAGACCAAACAAATGGTTAATTAATGAAACACATTTTTCGACACTAGTTTAAATCATGTTATAATGAATACAATAATAATTAAATAAAACATGAACTCACCAAGGAAATCATTCAAAATCAAAACGAAACAAATAGGAAAACTCCAGGTGGCACTCGTGTGCAGATTTCACTCTCAGAGACAAATCTTGTTTTTTTTCTTCTCTCAATCCTTCATTAAAAATATATGATTGAAATAATGTCAGCATCTTATTAATAGTCAATTTTTACAGTTAATACGCATTAAAACATTAAAAGATGTAAATCTAATAGTTTTCTGCTGTTATTAATATAACAACTTACATCTCTGCTTTCCCTTGCGAACACTGAATCACCATAGCAACGGTAAACACAAGCTAACAGACAAGCGAGATTTGTTATTGTTTGGAAAGCTGATCTGCTGCTATAGTGTAAGGCACGATGATGTCATTCTAAAGCACTATTCCCTTGAATGCTGTATAATACTCTATTATAAATTATTTATATAAGTAAATAATTTTAATGTATATTATTTAATCGAGTATTCTGCCAATGTTTTTTCCTTATCTTTCTATTTGCTCTATTGCTGTATACTACCCACTAGTAACCTGGGTTACACCTGATATCACCGACCCTGTCTTCTTCTTCCCACACAACAACGAACTTTACTACAATGACCAAAATTACTTTTGTGATCAATTATGTAAGAAACGCTGAAAACAGGACACTTTCAATTTACCATAACTTCTATGTTAAGCGGCTTTGACACAGTTTACATTGTAAAAGCACGAGATAAATAAAGATGAATTGAATTGAATCTGCTTAAATGTGTACATGTTAATGGACCAAACAAAATATGATCTGATTTATTTTACATTTAATGTGCATCAAAATTACAGTGTGTGTAGCCAATGTTTCCAGTGTTTTTTCACTTTTCAGCTTTTGATGAGAGTTTTAAGACTTAATGAAAACATGTTTTATTTATTTCAGACCTAATTGAAGAGAATGAGGGGAGTAAAGAGGAGAAACATCATGTCAAAATTGAGGAAAAAAATCATTTACAGACTGAAGTTATTTTAAAAAGGAGGGACAAGAATTGTTTCACCTGCACTCAGTGTGGAAAGAGTTTTGGAAGAAAAGACGATCTTAAGATTCACATGAGGATCCACACTGGAGAGAAAACATTCACATGCCCTCAGTGTGGGAAGAGTTTCAGCCAATCATCAAACCTTAATCTACACATGATGATTCACACTGGAGAGAAACCATTCACATGCCCTCAGTGTGGGAAGAGTTTCAGCCAATCATCAAACCTTAATCTACACATGATGATTCACACTGGAGAGAAACCATTCACATGCACTCAGTGTGGGAAGAGTTTCATCCACTCATCATCCCTTAATCAACACATGAGGATCCACACTGGAGAAAAACCATTCTCATGCACTCAGTGTGGGAAGAGTTTTGACTGCTCATCACACCTTAATAAACACATGAGGGTCCACACTGGAGAGAAACCATTCACATGCACTCAGTGTGGGAAGAGTTTCAGCCAATCATCATCCCTTAATAAACACATAAGGAACCACACTAGAGAGAAACCATTCACATGCACTCAGTGTGGGAAAAGTTTCAGCCAATCATCATTCCTTAATCTACACATGATGATTCACACTGGAGAGAAACCATTCTCATGCACTCAGTGTGGGAAGAGTTTTGACTGCTCATCACACCTTAATAAACACATGAGGGTCCACCCTGGAGAGAAACCATTCACATGCACTCAGTGTGGGAAGAGTTTCATCAACTCATCATCCCTTAATCAACACATGAGGATCCACACTGGAGAGAAACCATTCACATGCACTCAATGTGGGAAGAGATTCAGCCGATCATCATCCCTTAAAAAACACATGAGGATCCACACTAGAGAGAAACCATTCATATGCACTCAGTGTGGGAAGAGTTTTAGCCAATCATCATTCTTTAATCTACACATGATGATTCACACTGGAGAGAAACCATTTCCATGCTCTCAGTGTGGGAAGAGTTTCATCCGCTCATCATCCCTTAATCTACACATGATGATCCACACTGGAGAAAAAAAACCTTTCACCTGCACTCAGTGTGGGAAGAGATTCATCCACTCATCATCCCTTAATCAACACATGAGGATCCACACTGGAGAGAAACCATTCACATGCACTCAGTGTGGGAAGAGTTTTGACTGCTCATCACACCTTAATAAACACATGAGGGTCCACACTGGAGAGAAACCATTCACATGCAGTCAGTGTGGGAAGAGTTTCAGCCAATCATCATCCCTTAATAAACACATGAGGATCCACACTAGAGAAACAACTCCCATGCACTCAGTGTGCGAAGAGTTTCAGCCAATCATCATCCCTTAATCTACAAATGAAGAGCCACACTGGAGAGAAACTATTCACTTGCACTTAAGCCGCGGTCACACTGGACTTTTCTCCCATAGACTTCCTCTCATACAAACATGAAGGCTTCAGACTGGAAATACAAGTTTGTGCGTCAAGTTTTGCAGTTCACTGCCTTACAAAGTTCAAGCTTGGTGAACTCTGACCTGCGAAATCACATCACCTGACTGTGTAGGACCAATTGAAGACCAAAACATGACCTCTCTGGACAGAAATTTAAAATATGGACCAATCGCTCACTTTTTTTAATGTCTAATCATCTTGTTTAATCCCGTCCCTTTTTGCAGTGCTGTACAACAGAGTTTTGCTTGCTCAAACTCTAATGTGACCGCAGCTTCGGTGTGGGATGAGTTTCAGCAACTTCTCAGACCTTAATCAGAATCAGACTGAGCTTTATTGCCAGGAATGTTCGCACATACAAGGAATTTATTTTTGTGACAGAGCTTCTACAGTGCAACAGAATTATAGAGACAGGACAATAAGCAGATAATAAATAAATATAAAAAAAACAGTAAGTAGTGAATGCAAATATTCAAATAGACAAGTGTATGTAGAGCTATATTACTATTACTATATTCCTATATACAACGTTATATGTGCAACTGTTATGTGCAAATTGGCATGTAAAGTGTGTTGTTAAAAAGTGTAAATGTGAGTGTATAGCAAGTAGTGATGTTGGTTCCACAGTTATTATTATTATCAAGTGTTCGTGAGATGGATTGCCTGAGGAAAGAAACGGTTTTTGGGTTGGGCTGTTCTGGTGCGCATTGCTTTGTATCGTCAACCAGATGTTAAAAGTTCAAAGAGGCAGTGTGCTGGGTGTGAGGGGTCCAGAGTAATTTTTGCAGCCCTTTTTGCTCGCTCTGGATAAGTACTTCAGGAGTTTGACAGAGGAGTCCTTTGAAGTGCAGTCATTTGTGTACAGGGAGAAGAGCAATGGGGAAAGAACACACCTCTAGGGGGTGCCAGTGCTGATTGTGCAGATACTGGATGAGAATTTTCCAAGCTTCACCAGCTACTGCCTGCCCGTTAGGGAACTGTTGATCCACTGACAGACAGAGGTGGGCACAGAGAGCGGAGTTATTTTGGGCAGGATAAGTTTTGGAATGATAGAGTTAAAAGCCGAGCTGAAGTCAACAAACAAGATCCTCACATAGGCCATGGCCTGTCTAGGAGTTGCAGAACATAATGCAGTCATATATTGACTGCATCATTCACAGACCTGTTTGCTCTGTAGTCAAACTGAAGAGAGTCCAGTGAGGGTTCAGTGATGTCCTCCAGGTGGGCCAGCACTAGTTTTTCAAAAGACTTTATGACCACCGATGTCAGCGCCACCGGTCTGTAGACATTTAGTCCTCTAAGTTTAGGTTTCTTTGGGATGGGGATGATGGGGTAGCGTTTGAGGCAGGAGAGCACATCACACAGTTCAAGTGATCTCTGTTGAAGATCAGGGTGAAGATGGGGACCAGTTGGTCAGCACAGGATTTTAAACAGGCTGGTGTAATAAAATCTGGACCTGGTGCTTCTTTCCTCTTGTTTCCTGAAGACCTGGCACACATAATCTTCACTGAACTGAAGTGCAGGTATGGGGTAGGCGTGGGTGATGGAGGTGTTAATGGTGGTGTGAAGAGCAGTTTAGAGTGAGTATGGGGTTTTTTCTTAAACCAGCAGTAAAACTCATTCAGGTTGTTTGCAAGTAATTTGTTGTCTACAGTACTGGGGGATGGTGTCTTGTAGTTTGTGATGTTTTTTAAGCTTTTCCACACGGATACTGAGTCGCTGGAAGAGAACTGTCTCCTTAGTTTCTCAGAATAGTTCCTTTTTGCGACTCATTTCCTTTTCCAGTGTGTATTAGACCTGCTTATACAAGGCCCTCTCCCCATTCCTGTATGCAACCTCCTTGGCCTGACGTGGCTGTCTAACTTTTACAGTGAACCACGGTTTGTCGGTGTATGCGAGTTGAGTCCTGGGAGGAATGCACCGGTCTTTACAGAAAATGATATAAGATGTTATAGTCTCTGTGAGCTCATCCAGATCGTTTGCAGCAGCTTCAAAAACACTCCAGTCAGTGAGGTCGAAAAAAACACATGAAGACCCACACTGGAGAGAAACTATTCACATGCACTCAGTGTGGAAAGAGTTTCAACTGATCAGCAAACCTTAATGAACACATAAAGATCCACACTGGTGTGAAAGAGTATATGTGCTTTGAGTGTGAGAAGACTTTTATTACACCTCCAAATTTAAAACCACACCAGACGATTCACACTGGAGAGACCATACAAGTGTTCAAACTGTGACAAGAGGTTTAATCAGTTAACACATCTAAAACACAAAAGAGGATTCACACTGGAGAGAAACCGTACAGATCTGATCAGTGCCTACAGAGTTTCGCTCATTCGAAGAAACACATGGACAAAAAGTTTCACACATGCCATGAATGCAGCAAAACATTTTCTCATTACACAGGATGTTTCATGTCTAAATAATGTTTAAAAAGGCTGAGTGACGGTATACTGTTTTCCAACACTGCAGTAGGTGGGGTTGTAAATGTGTTGCGCTCCTCGAGTTTACTGTAAACACAATGATGGCGCCTAAGAGAAGAACAGTTTCATAAACATCTGGCAAACAGTACCTCTGCGGATACATCTGTGCTCCACTCTCCAGTGTATTCATGTAGCTAGTGTTGTTGTGGATAATGTTCTCTGTCTGACTCCATGAATGAGAAACAAATCACTGGAAAGACACCGCACATTAAAAAAGGCGGAGCTCCAGGACAGCTAGTTTGCTGCATACTGGGGCCCCTCGTTTAGAAAGCCCATTCAATTGTCCTGAGTTGGATCTTTTAATAGTAAAGTTTCCTTACTTTTAGGTTCAAGATTCTTTCTAGTTTACTACATTTACTTTAAGTACAACACAAACTTAATTAATATTTTATGATTTAGGCAAAGCGACAGGTATTAGGTTGTATAATATTAAGACACTTTGATGATCCAAGGACTCCAGATTGGAGTTTGTGGTAAATCCTGATTGGATGCCTGCATTACTCATTAATGGGTATATGAAAGTTGTTGTGTTAGCTACCCCAGGACGCTATGACTACTCGGAAGTCCTCATGTCAAGACCTGCCATCTCATTGACTCTTTAACCTTATGGTTTTGTTTTGCATTATTTATATCATGTAGTTAAAGTGTTGTTGTGATTATATCCTAAGTTCTTTATCTTCATTATCATCCCTAGACATTTGTTGGTTGCTTTGATTAATTGTTCTATGAGTTACATTTTATAATAAATAATTTGCGTTCAGGCTATTTTGTTGGCTCATCTCTCTTTTATCTTTAATGACTCAAACAGGCGGGTCATAACACTTTGTAAAATGTGTCCCGTTGTATCCGAGATTTTGTCCTTTCAGTGAGGACCATAGGTGAGAGTAGGAACGTAGATTGAGCAGTAAATTGAGAATATTACCTCTCGTCTCAGCTCCTTCACCACAACAGACAATCACATCAACTGCATTATTGCTGCCGCTGCACCGGTCCATCTTTTAATCTCACATTCCATTCCTCATAAAAAAGGACTCCCCTTCAAACAAGATGGCCACCTTTTTCCAGTCAAATTCTGACTTAGAGGAGCTGTTTCTTTCCCTGCCATGTCACACTCAGCAGCAAACTGTCCCACCGCATGCTGAAGGTTATTATTAAAATGATTTATACTTTTGAGATCAGCCTCGAAAATAACACATTTACAAAATGAAATGAATAAGTGATGTTTTATAAACAAATTTCGGTAGGAGCATGATTGGTGTTTGACGAGGCTAATTCATCACACACACAATCATTCTATTATCCAATCAGCTCAAGAGCAAACCCCTATAAATAGTCAAACACGTCATACCTCTGTTTTGTCTCGACTTCAGCGTTGGCACATGTTGGAGAAAAGGAATTTATTTTTATTATTGGTTTTATTATTTTTTATTAGAAAAATGTTTAGACTAACAACAGATTAATCAATCTTTCTCTTTTGTATTATAAAACATCTTGACCAGACAAACTTCCTCTTTTTTACTGTGCTGCATACTTTTTAGAAGAACTGCTGACAAGTGGAAAAGCAGAATAAGAATAAATTGAGGGTGGGGGCCTTTGTTCCAGAACTATAGTCTAGACATGTCACAAGTTGTCCTGATGCTTGTAGAAGTTGTGAAATATATTAAAGATGTACGTAATTGTTCAGTTCTGGTATGCAGAGAAAGGTTACAGAAAGAGGAAGTAATGTCCAGGGGTTGCAAAGAGCCAAGGGACTGCAGAATGACTGATAAGTGACGTTAAACCAAAACTCCACCTGTTAAGATCAGTTGTGTATATATATACTGGAGTCAGGAAATGTAAGTCAGTTGCGAACCTCCTGAATGTAATTCTTGTATTGCATTGGGGTAACGTAACCCAGAGCTCTGTCATCGAATTATTCATTTGTATCTAATAAATTACTAATATTTTTGGCATTGAAGAAAACCCTCTCCAGACCTTTTCTTATTGAACTTGCATGGAATAGATGTAGATATTCCAACAATTTGGTGACCTCCGATGTGGAAAAGGGGGAGAGGAAGTTATTGATCTGTCGTATTGCATTGACATCATCGGCGCCAAAAAAATAAGGTAAGCAGAAAACCTGTTAAATCGAATTTCTGCAATTGGCCTAATCTAAATTAAATGATGTCATGTGATATGTAGGATTGATGTAGTTAAAGGTAAAGCATTTGAATAATTCGATGAGTTTAAATGTATATTTGCTTTAAGTGTTAACCGGTTTGTAAATATTAGGGTTGTTTAGAATTGCTTAGAAGTGTGGTGCAGCCAGGAGAACTGCGAGTGTGGTGCAGCCAGGAGAACTGCGGCTTCGGGTATTATTACGGTTTCGTCATATGGTTTTCACTAAGTAGATCAGAACATAAGTTGATACATTTTGACTGTTTTTGCTTGTTTGGTGTAAGGCTGTGCTTCTTACACGGAATTGAATAAAATACCATCCTAGGGTGTATTGTTCAGGTGACTACTGAGTACTGAATACTGGGATTTTACCTGGACAGGTGTTTGACGATTCACCTGAATTTTTTTTGGACTCTAAGGGCGGTAGTCCAGCGGACGAACCGACGGGTGGTCCCGAACAGTCCGGGTGCAAGCCCCAACGTTTTAGTAGGTCCAAGCGTTAAAGACAGCTATAGGGTCAGATTGTAAATAGTCTAAAAAATAGGGACAGTTTAGTCGCCGAGGTTGTGACTGAGTGGATGATTTGCTTCACTGAAAAGGTGTGACGCTGTAGAAAATACAGAGAAAAGTCAACTCTGTTAAGGTGTGGTCGATTAGACAGACACAGGAAATTCAACTGTGGAAGGCGAATGTAAATATAAAAAGAAATTGAGACTTGTGTAGAGCACGCATTATATTTTATGTAAATGTTTGTCTGTTGCGTTAGTGACTAACAGTTGAAATAAGCATAGTGTACAGATATTTAGTCGGCTGTATATACGCGTATATGATATTCAATTAAATGTCATTTAGAATTGGGAAAGTTCAGTAGTTGGGAAAGTGCAAAAAGTTTGCAGGTGAAAATTTGATTGTTTGAGGAGGATAAATATATATATATTTTGATTGTGTATGTGCAGTAAATGCAACATACAGAAGTTAATTAGTGTGTGTGAAAAACACTCTGTAAATTTGAGGAAGTGGAGGTGTGAAAAATGCATAAGGAATTCTATTAAGAATGTGAGCAATATGGAAAATGTCCCAGACAAAATTAAAAATTCAATGGGACAAGTGGTAAATGATTGTAACTAAGGAAAATTATTTGAAAAAGAAATGAGAAACAATATATGAGACGCTTAAATGTGAAAATGAGTGGAGCAATGATTGAACAGTAAAATTGGCTACAATCTTGAGAAACAGAGAATTGGAGTTTTACAAAGTCAATAACATAGCAAAAGGGGGCCACAAGGATGTTGTGGCAGTAAGAAATGGAAAAATTAGTTGGAATTTGTAATGTGGCATGATTTTGGCATTTGTTGGAACGGCTGTAGAAAGACCGATGAGGGGAGAAAAAAGAGGAAGTGCTCAGGCAGACAATCTTAGACAGATTGACAACAAAAAGGAAGTCAGAAAAAAGGAGCCACTCCTCTTCATGAGGAAGAAGCAGTTGAAGTAGGGGCAGAAGGAGTAAATTATATTAAAAGAGTATATAAAATTGTTTTGATTAAATAAGGATAGACTTTGATATAATAATTAGGGATTCAGTATAAGTTACAAAATAAACAGATCTATTACAATGCGGTATAAAAAAGACAAGTGAAAGAAAGAAATAATGGGAAATATGCTTAATATAGTTATTTTTGTTGAAATGGAATTTGAAGCTATACGAATGAATATATTAATAAAGAAATGAATTTACTAAATAGAGAAGGATGACTAAAACAATAGACCAGTAGTTGTTGACTAGAACAATAAGAACAAATAAATTAATAATACTAATAGGAAAAATAAAGAGAAATTAAAATACAACAAAAAGACCAGCTATTAAAGAAACATTAGAATAAATACATTTGAGGGAAAATGGGGAAAATGACTTCGAGATGAGCTGTTAAACAGCAAAGAGATAAAATTGGCATAAGTCTCTGGTCGATGAAGAGAAAAATTAGAAGAAAATGTGACAGTTTAAAATTCATCAACTGACGAGTTAATGAGCAAATATGTAAGGAAAATAAAAAATATGGATAAGAAAAACTTAAAAGCTTAGAATTAAAGAAATCCAAGTTATGGTTTGATAGAAAAAAGAAGAAGATATGTTTAAAATATATTGAAATATGTTTGAAAAATATTATATACATAGAGAGAGAGAAAGACAGAGACATTAAACAGATGAGATAGAAACTAGAAAAATAGTTGGACTTGTTACACTTTGGGGAAGTAACACTATGAGGAACTGAGATTTAATGTGAGAGGACAAGACTGAGTTTAGGGGCAAAAACTAAATAGAATTATAATATTAGTAATAATGATTTTTAAAAAAAATTGTTATGGCTTACACTGGCTGTTTTCATCTATGAAAGTCAGCTGCATAAGACTATCTAGGCCATCATCTAGGGTCAAAGAAAAATCATGGACACTTAGTGGATGTGGATGAACAAGATGAAGTGAGTTCAAATTTTCTATATTTAAAATGATAAACACCAAGAAAGAAATTGATAATTAAACATTGCATTTTAGATATAAAAATATATATTAAACAAACATGAGGGGTCAAGGCCTAATATAAACCATGAGACATAGC